TACCAGAAAGAGAGACAGAGAGAGAGAGAGAGAGGGATGCGGGGGCCTACCAGAAAGAGAGACAGAGAGAGAGAGAGAGGCTGAATGACAAAATTGAACTATGGATCAAATTGAGGTCGTGGCCAACTTCACAGTTGGAATGATTTTTTAAAAGTTATTTAGCATTTTTCCAGGAAAGATCACAACAAAGTTTACAAGTACTCCAATTTTCAGGTTTTTTCACGCATTCTTTTGAGAGTGAAAACTCACTGAATTTGGAGTGCTTTTTAAGTTGGCCCACACATGGTTGAGTGGCAAAAATGGAAAATGTGTCGAATTGGCGCGACGATGATTTTTCGGTCTAAATGATTTTCTTAAAAATATTCTAATATTTTTCCTAGAAAGAACATGACCTATCTATGGATTCTCAAAATTTCAGATTTTTCTGCAGGTTCCTCCGAGCACAGAAAATCGTCAAAGTTGCCTCTTGCAAAACGCCTGTTTCGTTGCGCCTGACCTCCCTGTTTTGAGAAGACGGGCCTCAACGCCTGGGCCTGAGGGCCCTTCTACAGTTCACATGCCCTCACTTCGTTTTGGGGTCCGCTTCCACCCGTGGACCCGTCCAACACCCCCACTTCTTTTTGGGGTCCACTTCCACCCGAGGACCGGTCATTCCTTTTTCTAAAAGTCTCGGTTCTATCAGAGCTAGTTGTAGGTAGTCCGCAATTTTTGGAAGGACCGGTTCCCCAATTTGTTTTTGCCCCTAAGAACCCACTTTGGGTCCTGGTCGCCCGCCGCAAAAAATGCGACACCTTGACACAGACGTCGAACCCCAGTAGACCGCGAATTGACTTGACGCGCCGCGTCGGGCGGGGTACCCACTGGCGAAAAGAAAAGAAAAAAACGACGAAAATGAGAAGTAACAAACGAAAAAAAAAACGAGCGAGGCAGGGGGGAAGGAGGGGAAGAACGAGAGAGAGAGAGAGAGGGCGTCAGAGAGTTTCTGACGCAGAGTTTGGTGGACCAAACTCAACGTCAGAAACTCCCTGATGCCCTCTCTTTCGGACCAAACTCGGCGTCAAAAACTCCCTGACGCCCTCTCTCTCTCTCTCTCTCTCTCTCTCTCTCTCTCTCTCTCTCTGTGTGTGTGTGTGTGTGTGTGTGTGTGTGTGTGTGTGTGTGTGTGTGTGTGTGTGTGTGTGTATGTGTGTGTGTCAACGTTCAAATGCGAATGAATCTCTCTCTATGTGTCAACGTTCAAATGCGAATAAATCTTATGCGTTATCACGAAAGATTCATTCGCATTTGAACGTTGACACAGAGAGAAAAAAAAAAAGAGAGAGGGTGTCAGGGAGTTTCTAATGCCGAGTTTGGTGGCGTTGGGCATGTCTGATTTCCTTTCTTTTTTTGTTCTGCTGAATTTTTTTTTCTTCTTCTTTTTTTTGTGATGTATTAGCGATTGTCCAAGGTTCGACAATAAAGTCCGAGGCTCACGAATGATCGGGCTACCGGTAGTCCGAGCCTCAGACTTGATAGCTGAGCGAGGTACTGGTGTTTTAACATGAGGGCACGGGTGCGCAACCCGTAGTTTGTATGTGCTTGATTGATAAAGGAGGCGTTATTGGTGAGGTTTAGAAGTAGGGCGATTGTTGCATGAAAAAAAAAAGTATTTCTATGTATGTGTCAAAATTAGTGTGTGTTTGTTTGTGTGATACTTAAGAGTGTTTGTGTTTATCACATCTGTTAGTGTTGGAATGCGTGGGATTTAGGTGATTTATATGGTATTAATGTATTAGATATTTGACATACCTTGATTCATAATTGGTGTCGAGGCTTGTGGTCCTTGAATCTTGGTCCATATGTCGTATATGTGTATGCTTGAGTATTTATTTTTGTAAGTTTTTTTTTAAATTAAATAAAAGTTGTTTTGTCACATGTGACTCACTCAATCAGACACTTAACGTGAGGGACATTTAATACGTCCACGTTCAGACACATCTGTTCGCACTTGCAAATGCAATTCAGGTGTGTCGTTTCAACTTGCGACCAAGGTCGCGCCCTTTCCAATTCAGACTTTTCCACTTTTCCACCCTGCAGCTACTTTGCCACCGTTTCGACCAAAACCCAGCGCGCGGTCCCACGGGCAGCTACTGGTCCTTTTTCAAAGAAATTGCCACCCCCCCCCCAAAGATCCACCTTGTCGCTGCTTTGCCACCGTTTCGATGAAAACCCCGCGCCCGGTCCCACGGCCGGTACTGGGCCCACATTTTTCAAAAAAGTTGTCAACCCCCCCTCAAAGTGTTGTGTCTGCACCTGCCTGCATTTTTCTAACCTCCCAACAACCAAACGAACCTGAATCAACGATCGGTATAACGAAGGACGATGAAAATGTCTTCGGGTGGGAAACGCACCCCTGACGGGCTGCGAACACCTGAATGTTTGCCCGTAGGGTTGCATTTATATTGTCTACCACGTGGGTGAGGGGAATGCAACCCTAAGGTAGCCAAAGCAATGAGACTAAATGCAAGCACAAGAGAGAGAGAAAGAGAGAGAGAGAGAGAGAGAGAGAGAGAGAGAGAGAGAGAGAGAGAGAGAGAGAGAAAGAGAGGGGGGGGGTTTAATTACGAAGTAGGTAACGACCGCAATTTGGCAACGGTCTATTTTGCAGTTGAAATGTTTATTTTTTTCCTGGAAAGATAACAACAAAATCTACAAGCACTCAAATTTTCAGATTTTTTCACCCATTCTTTTTAGCATGAAAAATCATTGAAGTTGGAATACTTTTTTCGTTGGCCCACACGTAGTTGAGTGGCAAAAATGAAAATGTGTCGAATCCGCGTGGCGATTATTTTACGGTCTTATCATGCAACAAAATTTTTATGCTGAATTGGCACGGTGATTATTTTGCAATCTTAATGAAATTTTGAAAATTTTCTGATATTTTTTCCGG